ACTGGTTTCGGCAAGAGTAGCCTGGCTGTTAGTACGTCATATGCCTCGTTGATCTGATTGGTTTATTTGGCCCGTCTATCACCAACATAGGCCAATTAGCTAACCAGTATTTTCGTCCCTTCCAAAAATTACTTCAACCGAAGGTTTCCAGATGGATATGCGAAGCAAATCTATCTGGCGGAGTCAGGTTAGCCATCAAGACCTTTTTAAGTAGATGTTGGAGATCTGCCTGTTTTTCAGTGCAGTTCTGTTTCTCTGACTGTGACTGGCTAGATGTGCTCCCTACATCCTCTGACATGGGAGCTGGAACAGAGCTCGTCTGCCTGGCTGTGTGTTTCCTGGATGGAGCCACCCATGGAGCTGGTTCACTGGCCTTTTGTATCTCTGCTTCTTTCTGTATTTCTGCTCCTGTCTACTTGAACCCCAGTCGGCCTTGGCCGATGGCTGCTCACACTGAGTTTGGTTCCACTGGAGGTTTCTTCCTGTTAAAGGGGAGTTTTTCCTCTCCACTGTCGCTCCAACCATGCTTAGTGTGAGGGATTGCCTTCAAGTCAATGAGTTGATGCAATCAGCTGGTTTTCCTTAGATAGAAAACTGAATTTATTGGACTGTGTGATCTGGTGAACTGTAAAGTGCTTTGAGATGACATGTTGTGAATTGGCGCTATATAAATTAACTGAATTGAACTTTTTGCCAAGGCACATCATCGCCGTGTTCACAGATAGAAAAGTTAAGTATATCAAGAAAAGAACATTGTTCCTACTGTGTGACATGGAAGAGGCTCTGTTTGAGGCTTTGCTTCATCTGAAACAGGGTGTTTTGAATCTCTGTAGGGTTCAATAATATCTCACAACTATTAAGGGATTCAAGAGAGAAGTGTGTTGCCCAGTTTCAGAAAGCCTGGTCTTAGTTGCAGGTCATGGGTCTTCCATAGGATAAAGACCTAAACACACTGCTAAAAATAGCCAAGAATGGCTAATAGGAAAACATTGGACTATTCTAATGCGTTCTATGAGCCCTGACTTAGATCCTACTGAGCATCTTTGGAAGGAGCTGAAACATGCCGTCTGGAGAGAGCAGCCTTCAAGCCTAAAACACCTGGATCAGTTTGCTGATGAGGATTGGACCAGAATAGCTGCTGAGAGGAGCAGAAGTCTCATTGACAGTTAAAGGAACAATATGATGTAGTAATTGCCTCAAAGGATGTGAAAAAAATAGGTTAAGGGTACCATCATCGTATTCTAGCCCTGCTTTTCTCTTTGTTTTTTTTTTTATTGAAGCATGGTTAAAAGCAATGTCTGACCCTTTAATTGTTCATTTTCATAGAACCAACATTATTACTTTTGTCAGATTCAAGTTATTTCTGTGACCATTGTGTGTTTTTTATCTTTCATTAAATGAGGGGTACCAACTATTTTGTATGTATACCTGACATTTTGTAAAGTATCCAATAATAAAATCTAGCCTCATCCACCTTCTTAAGACGTCATTTCGTTATTGTATAAAAGCAATTATCTGCACTTGAGGTGTCAGAATATATTACGAATATATTGCCTTTATTGTTTTCTTTTGAAAGAAATAAGAACTTTTAAAGTTTAACAGAAGTCATAAGGAGAAGATCTGGTCAGATGATCATTCCTAACACACCTTCCCATTGCGATGCATGTTGGTGGCAACATCTTTTACTACTGTGGGATCTTTTTTTTATGACAGGAACAGAGAAGTTAGTGAGAGTATGATTTGATTTGATTTGATCAAGTAACCCAATAGCATCTGATTGGATACAGAAGCTGTAAGAGTCCTTGATGGGAAGATGGATGATGCTACATAAAGGTCGAAAACCCACTAAAGATTACAGTATGCTTTAGACTGGAAGAGAGGTTCACCTTCCTGCAAGACAGCAACCCTAAAAATACTACCAGGAAAATAATGAAATGATACAGGATTAAGCACATTTTTTGGTGCAGTTAAAGTCCAGATTTAAATATATTTGAAAATATGTAGAAAAACTCATTTGTTTTCTGAGAATCTCTTTATCTGACTGAGCTTCATCTATTTTGTATAGTGAAAAGGTTTCAGGTACTCGATGTGTAAGACTAGAAAAGAAATTCTTCAACAGACCTGCAGTTTTCATTACCAGTAAAGTTGTATTGACATGCCTGCAGCCATCAGGCCTGCAGCTGGAGGAAGACTTGTAGCAGTATAGCTAACTGCTCCATCTGAGGAAGCACTATTTGGATTACCACTCAGCAGCATGTACAGCCGGTTGTACTTGGCTCAGGGTAAAGAAGCCCTCTCTGTTCCACACTTTCCAGCCAAGAAAACATGCGGTGGGGAAAGGGGAAGCAGCCCTGACAGGGAATCAAGGCTCTAACCAAACAAGTGGACAGAGACACTGCTTTACCATTTTGGGCAGGATCCCAGAGTTAATCTAACCAGTGACAGAAATAAACAAAAAACAACCTCCACTCTCATCTGCTAAGGTTTAAATTTAACAAATACATTATTTAGCTTTGAAGATGCAGCTCTGCCAAACCTTAGAACTGCCAGATTGTACGTTATATAACAGATTAAAAATATATATATATTTTAAATGTTCTTGCTTTGAATCAATAGATTCACAGACTTCAAAATTAAGGATACGTGGAAATGCCTAATGAGTAAATACTGCAATAAGAGTAAAATGTTTCTGCTATCAGTAAATAAAACAGTTCAGCCAGGTTCTGACTGATACTGATTTTCATTATTGAGTTTAGGTAAAACAAATTCCCCTCTAAGGATTATTGCAGTAAATATATATATATATATATATATATATATATATATATATATATATATATATATATATATATTTGATTGGCTTAACAGTTTTAAATCCAATGGAAAACAAAGAATTATACGATTATCCCAATTTATAGATCAAAGCATTTCTAACCTAAACCCCAAAAAAGATAAAAGCATTTGCTGGTTGGCATAGCCTACAAACGCTGGGACTGCTTAGTTTGAATTTACCAAATGGTAATATAAAAAAAAAAAACAGAATTTATAGAATTTACCTTAAGGATTCCCAATCAGGTCCAACCAGGAAAAAATTAAATCTGCGCATTTAGATTTCAGGCCCCTGCTCTTAAAAATATGACTTGTTGAATTTAATTTCCGGCAAAAATGCTGAGTAAACTAAGTAAAGACACGTATCCAAATGAGCTCAGAAACATTAAAACACTTCCTATTTCCAGACAAACTCACTTAAGAAGTTTCAGTCTAAACAGATATAATTCAAAGCTCTGTGACAGAAATCCAGCTACCCTGTTATCATCTATGGAGAGGTGGGTGGGATGTTCCTGCCTCTGAGGGATGCATTGCAACTTCTTAAACCACAATATTTATAGCAGTTATCCATGTTATATAATTTATTTTCCAAGTTAAATAAAATATTTTTGTACACAGTACAGCAGGGGTAGGCAATTCCATTTCCTAGAGGCTGGTATCCTGTAACTTTTAAATCCATCCTTGGTCCAACACACCTGAATCAAATGGTTGATTTACCTCCTCAGCATGTGGACAGTTCCTCCAGTCATCTCAATCATCTAATTACATGATTAAGGTGTGTTGAACCAAAGGCACATCCAAAAGTTGCACCCCCTGCAGTCCAATATAATAGATTTACTGTTAAAGCTGTGGTGAATGGAAGAGAGCCGTTTCCCATGTTTATTGCTGAAAAAAGGTAAAAGTAGTTTCCCTCAAACAGCAGGAGATGTTTAGAGGCTTTTAAAAGCCGGTCCCATTCATCTCTTAGGTGATACTTCTTAAAAAGTTAATCAATTACTAAAGTTATAAAGACCTGCAGCAAGATCACAGGTGTGTCAGTGTTTTATAGCACAGGTGCTGCAATCTGGCTCTTTAGGGCAGGTGTCCTGGAATATGCCTCAACACACCAGAATAACATGATGAGATCGAGCGCCAAAGGAGGTGGTTGATGAATTTAATCAGATGTGTTGGACACATCCAGAAGTTACAGGACACCAGCCTTCCAGGGTTGGAGACAGACACCCATGCTTCAGACCATCCGTACCATGAAATGAGTCGAGACACGCACGCAAACACACTGTTACATAAAATGTCTTCTGTATTCCAAGTCTCTCAAACGGACAAGTGGATGGCAGAAAATATTGTCCAAAAAAAAGCAGAAATACAATTACACCAAGTCCAAAATGTCACATTTTAGAAAAAAGGGAAGAAAAAATCTACATCATACATAAAAACATGGCTTACCATTTACTGAACCAACATCCCAGTGGGTTATCTGTTTGTTCTTATCTGACTAGTACCTCTGGTAATGGCCTGAATCTGATGTCTGTTTACAAGCTCAGCCCTCAGGCTGAAAAATAGAAGCTTTTTTATTTTATTTTTTACTTTGAAACCAAACGAAAACGACGTGCAGGCTGGAAACCTGTTCAAAAGTTCTGATTGCCATCAGGACGCACTGCAGAGGAAGTAAGGGCTCATCAGTTGGCACAGTCACAAGAGAAAAGAGGGAAGGCACTTGACACGGGGTCGTAGTGTTCCCCATGCAGCGACAGCAATGCACCGAGGAGGAACACAGTCAGCTGGGTGCAGGTTCGAAAGAAGAAATTAACAAATCACCAACCTGTGGATGTGTTTAGGGCAGTAATACATAAATATATTGGCTTAACTCAACTTTGACTGGGCGGGCAGAGGGTTTGTGCCTTTTGGATTTAATTGAACTGCTTGAACTAGGCTGTGCAAGGCTTGAGTGGTGATTTTAAATGCTTTCATAGCTCTTCTCACAACAAATGTTATAAAAGTGAGCAAATTTTGCTTCTCTATGAGGGATCTAAAATAAAACACCCACCACCACTTACATCTGAAACAAAATAATCAAGCCCTGGAAGAAATAACAACAGAGCTGAAGGGAAAAAAGGGGAGAAATAAAAAAAAAAATAAGCATGATAAAAAAAAGCCTGAAAACACATGACTCTTAGGTTTCACAACTAGACATTCCCACTGAGGCACATTTTCCAGAGAAGTGTCAAATACAAAGCTATAAATTCAAGTACTTTGTCATGTAAACACTTTCCAGACTATGATACATAATGGATCGTTGTTGTTTTTTTGTTTTGTTTTTTTTGTCCTTGTGCAACAATAAGACAACAGTGTGAAGAGAGAGAAAACTTTTAAGAAGAAAGAAAGAACTTTTCCAAGTTTCTGCACATCCTGGTGGCTCCTTCAGAGCAGGACACATGAGCAGCACTGGTCTCCTCCACTGGGAACACTGGAATAGTTCATCTGTCTCACTATTTCTGCAAACAGTTCGTCCACCGAGGTTTTATTTTTGGCTGAGGTCTCCATGAAGGGGCAGCTCCAGTCCTGGGCCAGCGCCTTGCCTTCCCCGGAGGACACCTCCCTCTCCCCCTCCAGGTCCACCTTGTTCCCCACCAGGATCATCGGCACCCTCTCGTACCTCTTCACCCGGATGATCTGGTCTCTCATGGGCTTGATGTCCTGGAAGCTCTGCTGGTTCACCAGGCTGTAAACCAGGATGAAGCCCTGACCGTTTTTGATGTACAGATCCCGCATGGAGGCGAACTGCTCGGTACCGGCCGTGTCCAGGATCTCCAGCACCGACGGGGAAGAGTCCACCTCGATCTCCTTCCTGTAGAAATCCTCTATCGTCGGGTCGTACTTCTCGATGAAGGAGCCCGTCACGAATTGGACCGTCAGCGCCGATTTACCGACTCCGCCCGAACCCAGAACGACCACTTTGTACTCCCTCATGGTTCAGAGGAAAAGCAGACACCTCCTTTTTTCCCCCTTAAAGAAGCCCCCTCTCTGTCTCCGTCCTTCCGATGTTTTCAATCGGAGCTGGGGAAGGCTGCTACACCCCCCTTCCCTCCGGTAGCCGTCAAAACCGGTGAATCCTCCGAGGCAGGGTCAGCTCGGTGAGGGCCTGCCGGGAGCAGATCCGAGGAGAGCGACCGGCCCTGGACATCAGCGCGGGGAATTAAAGCGCATTTTGATCGCGCTGTGTTGTGCAACGGTGCGGGAGGAAAAAGCGTGATCGCGTCTCTGCTGTTGCATGGCGTTTCCTGCCCACATCCTCAGCTCGTCAAAAAAAAAAAAAAAGAAAGAGGTTCAGTTCCGTTTTCTTAAAGGAGCCGTCACCAGGACTCCCCACCTCCGCTGCAGCATCTCTCACAGCGGGTCAGATGATCAGACCCAAGGGTGTAACTTTGTGTTAAAAGTTGACCTACAGCTACTCAACTTGAACGCTTTCAATAATTCAATTCACTTTATTTATATAGCGCCAATTCCCAACACATGTCATCTCAAGGCACTCCACAGTTCAACCAGATCATACAGTCAAATTGATTAAAAGTTTTCTATCTAAGGAAAACCAGTTGATTGCATCAACTCATTGACTCCCTCACACTAAGCATGCTTGTAGCGACAGTGGAGAGGAAAAACCCCCTTTTAACAGGAAGAAACCTCCAGCAGAACCAGGCTCAGTGTGAGCAGCCATCTGCAGAGGCCGACTGGGGTTCAAGGTGACACAAGCAAAGATACAAAAAGCAGCTGTATAGGGCGGCCCCATACAGGAAATACACAGCTAATGTAGGTGTCAATAGGGTTTATATTTTCCAAAAATGAGCTCAAACATATATTTATTGAATGCTTTCCTATTGTTAAGAACACAAGAGTACCACAATACATTTGTGGTACTTATAGTTACAGACAGATGCCTGCCTTTAGTGCATTATTTTATAAAGGGCTCAAAAACATTAATGTATAAAAAATGACGAATAACAGCCGATACTGATACATTTATTTAGTCCATCATATCTGGACGCCACTAAGAGCTCTTCCTGCAAAAATTATTAATATCCCATTTCGTATTAAGTCACATTACATCCATAAACCTTGATGAATTTGTCTCACTGTGTGGTGTGAAGGCTCCAGCGCCTCAGACTGGAAGAAGGTGAGAAGAGTAGTAAGAACAGCACAGAAGATCATCGGGGCTCCTCTTCCCTCCATAAAACACATTTCATCCCAGAGCTGCATGTCCCAAGCCTGTAACATCATCAATGACCCCTCACACCCCCACCACACCCCCTGCTGCTCTCTGGGAAGAGGCTTCGCAGCATTCGATGCAGGACCAGCAGATTCCGAAACAGCTTCTTCCCCACCGCCATCAGACTGCTGAACTGTTGAAAAAAGTCTTAATCATGTCAAAGACTCTGCATCAAACTGATAACACCAAACCAAAATACTGCACAGTTGTACCACATATATTTATTGCTCTGAACTTCCATATCAATGAGGAGTTTTTTTTCACTGTTTTTTCTCCCACACTGTTTACATTTGATCCCTGCTGCACTTTATGGAATGGAAATGTTCATTTACTGTCTAAAAAGCTGTACTAAACAACATTTCCTTTTGTATACACTCTGTGTTTACAAAATGACAATAAAACTTGTCTAAGTCAAAATATTTCTTGATGTGATGATGGACCATCTCTGAGGTTGGATGGTGATCTTAGGATCACCCTAAATATTAACTCCTACCTCTGATTCCCTCCCAGATTCAAGACTCAAACCTCAAAGCATGATGGTAAACTCTAAATTTGTCATGAAGACTCATTTGGATGGTTGAAATATATGTAATGAATTTAAAGTTAGTTTTTCCACCCAAGCCAACTTGTAACTAACGAGGTGGTTTGATTCCTTTGTAGAAACCCATTTGTGTCTAAGCTTTAATTTTTTTTGTTAACATGTTTCCAATAATTTATTTGTCATCATTCATTGTAGAAGTGCGCCCCACAACATGATACTGCCACCTCCATGCTTTACATATTGGATGATTTGGTCATTGTAGTCAAACACAGGACACCCCTAAATGGTACACATTTAGGGGTGTCCTGGATGTCTCCTGGATGTCTACTGGATGTCTCTGCAGACTCCAATCTTGCATTTTTCTTTTTCTTTTGGGAAAAACTTCTTCCTCCTTGCTGAAAGTTTTTTTTTTTTAACCCATCTGAGCTTATTATATCAAAACATTTCCATCTCAGAGAGAAAAAAACAAAACCCCATCTCTTGAATGTTATGTATGCACATTACCTTCATTTTTGGATGCAATCATTTAAACAGATGAAGCAAACTCAGTTGCATTTAAAAATTGTACACAGTGATGAATCAGACTCCTAAAAGTCCCTCTTATCGTCACTAATTTCTTTTTTTCCTCCCAAAATTTCACAAAAAGAGTATGTTTGAGCTATTGCCTTAGAATGAATCCTTAGGTCATCACCCCTTCAACAGATGTTGTGAAATAAGCCATTGGAAGTGTGCAAAGCCATGAGATCATCATATGGGCTTTGTTAAATAGTTTAGATATAGTCATTTTAGTTTATGTCAGCCTGTGATCTTAAAGATATTCTTTATAAACTATATTTCTTAAATTCACTCTTATTATCCTGTAAATGAACAAATACGAATAACTTTGGTGATCTTAACTAAATCAAAACAAGAACATTTTATCACGCAGTGAGAAATGTAATGCTTCTTAAATGAACTTTAAGAAGCAAAAGAGATCATTCCAGGGCAGGGATGATTACAGATCTCTGTGAAGCACATAAGGGAGTCACAGAGCAGGCGCAGCAGACCAGGTCTGAGGTGATGATAGGGAGCGTTGGCCATCAGGGACGCTCATTTTTTCAATGCAGTGTATGCAAATATCTGGTTTCCACTTTACTAGGGTGGTGACAATCAACAAATGCAATTTAAGTGTGAATTCTCCACCCTATGCTGCAGCAAAGTACAAAGAGGAGAACATAAATAAAGCCTGTCGTGAACTTTACAGGCCTCACTGCTGCCATATAACCTAAATGAACTTCCAAATCCAAAAATCCAAGGAGACAACATTGCATGAGCAAATCAAATAGTTTTATTCAGATTTTTTTGTTTTTGTTTTCATCCATACAGCAAGAGTCAATTATGGCAACATTAAAATGAGCATAAACAAATCTGGAGACAGAATAGTACATTATTGTGTGACAGCTGTTAGCAAATACATAACTGGTTGGTGCACTTACAAGTAAAAAGCAGTTAAAAGCAAACATGTGCACCCAGCAGGGAAGAAAGACCTTGGTTGCAGCCAGAAGACTTAAAAAGTCTTGTTTTTTTGAGAAAAAACAAAAAAGCGCTTTGGTTATGTAGCGACTATACAAAGCAGCCTCAAGATAGAAACGTATCGACACTGACTATTACATTCATCTTAAAGAGGAATTTGCCAAATGTGCATTTGGTTTGACGAGCCTTCACCTGCTGAGTGCACAGCAACGGAAAGCAGGAACGACTGCTTGTGAGTTAGTGGGGACTGGAAGTCTCTATCTGAACATATCTGAGGTGGACGAGTGCTAATAGGTTATTATCCGTTAAATAACTTGTTTGATTGGAAACACTTCAGTAAGATGACTCAATTTTAAAGTATTATTTCTCCACACTGTAGATAATTTCTACTGCATGTATGATTTCAGAAACAAAATAACTTACGATTCATTGAAAAGTACTGTGGATCCTGTATTCTGAAGGTGCCTTCTTTCTTTATATATCTACACAGCTTCTTTTGTTTACATGCAATCAAATCAAATATAATAGAAGATATATTTTTTCATAGATTTATGTATCTACTGTACCATGGGACACTGCTTGTCCAGTAAGTGAGTATATGGACCTTAATGGATATGTCATCCTATCAGAGGCGTAGAGTTAGCGTGACACGGGGACATCTGTTCCCCTGCAACATTCCCTGGCATTAGGAGCCACCTAGAAAATAAGCGCATAGCTTTCTCTGAATGCATTGGCCCAGAAACTAGTGCCCTTGTTTGCAAGCAAATTTTTAGCTGGTCTTCTAATTTAAGAATTTTTAAATTAATCTAGCAAAATTTCTTATAATTATAGATCTTTTTTTCTTTTATTCAAAATAATATCTCATTATGGTACATGTATTTTTTTTATTTCTCTGTTCATTTTACTATATACAGAAGTGCAAAATGTTAACCTTTGTCCCTTAGGTTAAAACTCATTATCTGCAGCATTTCCGACTCTTCCCCAGTGGGAGGGGGGAAGTCTCGACTTTCCTCACCCCGTATCTCAACATACATCGACATCAATCTCACTGCTCGTTTTGGCCTGACATTCAGGGCAAACTTAATATTTAAAACAAAACTACATCTCTTTTTGAAATGGATACAGTAGAAAATATTTTTTCCTCTCTAAAACATGGACAATCCATTTTTTTTCCATACAATATAGTATTTTCCAAACATGACATTGACATGTTACAAGGAAGATAAAAGCTTCTCCAACATCTTATTCCTTGTATCAAAAAGTTTCTCATCAATAAAATCAAATGACAAATACAACAAAGGAGAAAGACGTCCAGCTATATGAATGAAGTGAGTATTTAAACACATTATCCTCTACATGGTTTGAAAAAGTTATGAATGTCATACTATCTTAATGTCTACAACGGCTATATGACTGTTGTCAGGTAATATAATAAGACACAAAAAAAGAAAAAAATCTAAAACTACATACCTCAAATAGATTAAAATTCTTAAGTAGTACATAACACATAAATGTAATGAAATTAAGGAGAGTATTTCTTTTTTTAAGAGAAACAGATTAACAAAAAAAAAAAGGTGAAGTTTAAAAGTGTTATGAGAGAATTTCAAAATGTCATTGGTGTTTTTTCTATTTCCTGTGAGGTGATTGAAGGGATATTTGATTGGGTACAGACCCAAACATTGTGATCTAAGGCTTTGTTAGGTATATAACATCGGTAAAGACACAGCACACGCTTCTGCAAAAACCTAAGAGGGAAATAATCATAAAACACATGCAGATGGAGGAAATTATTTTCTCATCTGTAAGCCTCGACCTAAATGTAAGACTTAAGAGCAAATCTGTGCTTTGGTTTCATAGAGAGATCAACAAAAGCTTCATATTTTTACTTGAAATGCACGCTGCATTCTAGCAAAAAAAAAAAAAAAAAAGAAAAACAGGAGAAGCTAAAACAGTGACCTGACAAATTGAAGTGCACGTATGTTTTAATGACCTACCAGACGTTTAGGGCCTGAAAACAAAAGAGTTTCTTGCAGAGCTACTACTATTTGAAAACGAAGGGAATCAGGTAAAAACACGCTAATTAAAACCATTCCCTCTATTTCCCAGGCTTTAGAGTCGACGGACTTGATTAAAAACTTATCCTGACAAATAAAAATTAGTTAAAAGAGGCATGACGGATTTTAGAAAGACCCTCTGTTTTGATAACAAAAAAACAAACAAATTAAACCCCACTTTCAAATCTAAATCATTCTAAAAAAAAAAACAAAAAAAAAGGAAGATTAAAATAATAATAATAATAATAGTAATAAAAAAAACACACACACTCACAATGGAGATTCTTAAAGAAAACAATACAAAAAGAGCCTTACAAAAGTTTTACCTTCGGTAAACAAATAACACTGCTGAGATAACACTCTGGTTTTAGCTGTATGGCCTTGATGGCACATGACAAGGTGAGAAAAGCTAGCCTGGCTGTGCTTTCAAGGTACACAGGTATGTTGGTTAACCCAGAACATTCATATGTCCAACACCCTCATTTCAACATCTAGTTTCACTAGTAGCCGTTTAACACAATACTGTACATGCCGAATGCATTTGGCAGAGAAAAACAAAACAAAAACAAAAATGACAGAAGAAAAATATCTGTTATTATCATTGTGCCTTTCAGAATTCAATTAAATTCAAGGTGCATATTTGCATTCCACTTGTAAACTATGAAATATGGCTATCGATTACAAACGAAGCTGAAAAAAAAAAAAGTAGATAAAAGGAAGGAAACTGTTGGTCTATTAACGTACCAGCACTAGATGTTGTCTCATGTAACATCGCTCTTGACCTCCTGTGCATGCAGTAATGATAACAAGTAGAGCAAACGGATTCAGATACACCGATGTATCACGTGATCCTCCTCTTCTTGGCTGGACGTTGACTCTGACGGCAAATTCTTCTGGATATTGATATGTGGGAAGATGGCACAGATCATGTGTTGTACCCTTGACGCATGTGACGAGTCCCTCATTGTGGACAGGCTAAGAGATGGCTGACCCTCCTTGTCCCATCGCTTGACATTCTGAAGGTTATGTACATAAAGGCTTAACTCTTTTGGCTTGGACGGTGCCAGCACACATTCATTTGATCTGTAAGAAAACATGGATTTGACTTAAGAAATGTTTAGGGAAATAAAATTCAGCCCCTCACTTTGTTTTGTTTTATACTAAAACATTTACTAAAATATCACAAATTAAAAAAATGCGGTGACATAAGTATTCAGCTCTATTTTAACACTGGATAGAACCACATTTTGCTCTAATTAAAACTGAATGAAATTTTGAGTGTGTTTCTACCAGCTTTGCACATCTAGACACATAATTACTTACTATTTTGTCAAATCTTTTTTTTTTTTGGGTGAAAAAGCCTGAGATTGGTCCTATTGGATTGAGAATCTGAAAGCATTTAAGGTTGGGCAGAAATTCCAAGTGATTCTTTTGACTGCCTGTCATTTAGATCAGTCCATTAACTCACTAACTGCCCTCTTGTGCTAAAGAACCCGTTACCAACAACATGACGCTGCCACCACTATGCTTTATACAGGGATGTCAGGTTCAGAATAATGAGCAGTGTTAGCATGTAGTTTATTAATCAGAAAGTTTATTTCTTGGTATCGTCTGACCAACACTAAAACCTTGTAAGACTTGGCTTGTGTATATATATATATATATATATATATATATATATTCTTCTATTTTTTGCTGGTCTATCACATAAGGTTCACCAAAGTTTGTGGCTGCACTATAGGCTTTAATTCTAGAAAGTGTTAAAACTATTAAAGCAGCAGAGATAACATGGGTCGCAAAATGACCTGAAATGAATAAAGAGAATAAAACACTTAAAATAGAAACTCACTGTTCTTAAGAGGAACTACATTTGAGTCAAGTACTTGTGACTACTCAGATGATCTGCAGATATTATTGGAATCTGGTGACAGAAAACAGAGACCAAATGAAGCATGTCAAATCAAAAACACACTGAGCATTGGCCTCTTAAACAGATCAGCACAACGTAACCACATCCTCTCTCTATAAGATGAACTCTTTGCTGAAAAGAGACAAAGTTAATAAGACAGTACAAGCTTTTATGCTACATTCAGGTGCATTCAATGCAGATTTTCCATTCTAAGGACAAATACTTCAATCAAGGCAGGAGGGGAAGAAGACGACTTAAAGGAAGGGTGAAACGGGGTTGTTGGCAAACTGTCAGTTAGGTGACTTCCCCCATGCAAATTTAGTCCTCCATGTTGTTGACCTTCACACCTCAATCAGATGTGAAAACATGTTGCAATAATGCAATTTATTTTGCCTCGATAATATGCTTCCATAGAAAATTGAAATCTTACGTTTTTAAATATTGCATTTCTTTGTTTTTATCAAAAAGTAATAAAGTCCTGCTAATAAACACAAAGGAAATGGGAAAAGCTCTGCTTTATGTGGAAGCAGCTGCAAAAAAAGGAGCAAAAAAAAACAAAAGTAAGCCAAGCACCGAGGGGGCAAAGACAGCGGCTGTTGCACAAGCTGTGCAAAAAGGTTTTCAAAAATGTTAAAAAAGAAATATAATAAACAAATTTAAAAAAAAAAGAACTACCTCATACATACCAATTGCATGTATTCGTTGGTAGTCAACTTTGATAAGGAAGAGTCCTCAAAGGTGGAAAGGACAAAAATCAAGGTTACAATGAGGACACAGAATAAATACACATCAGATACTTTAGTAAAAGTAATTGTTATAATTGTGATAAACTTAATGGCCTAAAGATACGCTTTGCCATCATTTATTAAGACATTTAATATGCCATGTTGGACTGGTGTCGGCCAACAAGAGGGAGTACTGCTTTCTACCCAACCCACCCATTGTAAGACAAGCATTCCAACTCTTTTCATGTGCAGAAATAAAGAGATAGATAGATAGATAGATAGATAGATAGATAGATAGATAGATAGATAGATAGATAGATAGATAGATAGAT